ACATGGGACTCCAGCTGAGACCTGAGAAACGAGCAGTGCAGAACAATCAGCTCCTCTGTTTAACATGCAGAATTCCTGTAAACACACCTCAAAATGAAAGATGCTCTCTCTGCACCAACTGATTGGCTCCAATTTAGTTTATGGTGCATTGTAAGCCCAGATGGTTTTTGGCAGTGCTGCTCCCTATCAGACATTTCTCATTTTTTGTTTACATCGAAGTTTTCTCTCCTGTACACAGTGCTCATCTTTATCAGCTGTCATCTCGCAGATTTTGGGTATCTTTTTCCAGTGTATCCAGACCACTTTGAATTTTAAGTCCTGTCCTCAAGAGCCCTTACAATCATTCCAGATGGGTGTCCTTGAGAAGTTGTTCACATTCTGCTTCATTATTCATGAAAGATGGTACAAATGAACTCTACATGCAGATGCTCTGGGCCAGATGCATCCCACCTAGATCTGGGCTGTACACACCTGGAACCAAGCTAAGCGCTGTGCGCTGCCCTGGCAGGCAGTTAAGAAAATGGGCGTTTCTGACAGTGACAGTCCCATATGCTCTTTTAGGCGTCTGCATTGAGATGAGATGAGTTCTAAGGGAGTCAGGACACCTAGCCTGTTGGCACCTATAGTTGGCCAAACCCACAAAACAGGTGTTCAACTAAAGGTCGGTGCTGCTTCCTTTATCCGGGGCCTTCCGAGTACCAGTGGTAGGATTCTGATTAGGAGGTCCTAATTAGGAATTAGGGAGTTCTAATGAGGGATTAAGGAGCAATTAGGAAGTAGGGAAATGGACTGAACTGTTACATCTCAACACTTAGGCTTTTACGCTTATCCATGACTTAAAATTGCTATTTATCCCTTAAGAGGATTTTAGCTTTAGCTTTTCCCCAGGCTGAATACGCCTGAGCTGTGGAATAGGGGTGGGAAGGTATAACTCAAAGTGTGGTACAGCTTGCATGCATATTGACAGTCAGCCTTCTGGAAATGAATCCAGGGCTGGAATCTGACCACTCATAAATATTATTTCCTAGGAACATTTCATAATATCTTTAAGATCAGTGAGAAGTGGAAAGCATATGGTAAGATATTAGCCTGGAGCTCTGGGTATATCCTGCATCAGATGTAGAGCCCTTTTTTTTCCACAATTTACTGAAATTAAGAGATAATGTCACTGTAATATGGTGTTGTCAGAGGGTATTGGTTTTCTGCAGCTACATATCTGCAAAGGCATTTTTAGGAAAATGAAATGTCAAGGAAAATACATATATTTATTATCCAAGCAAAAGCCTCTGATTTTCTGATAACATTCCGTTACTATGATCTCAGAGAATAACTTGCTGATGTGCCCCCAGTCATTTTGGCCCTTGCTTTCTGCAGAGGAAAACAGTGATATATTCTCAAATGTTAACAAATAAATGATAATAATATTTCTTAAAACTCAGAGATGAACAACTGGTAGCCCTGGCAATAATTACACACTAACATTATACACTTCTAAAATTTGGAAGTACTGTAAATCACAGTATAAGTCAAGATACATGAAAAGGACTCAGCAAATTTTCCAAGCTCCAGATTTGTGACATCATTAAAGACACATATTGTTTAGCAGCTTTATAACTTTTACTGGTAGGGATGATCCCTTTTTTTTCACTAAACACTCCAAAACCAAACAAAGCTATAGAAGGACCTCATAAACTTTTTTTGAGAATTTTTTTTTTTTTTTTAGTTTCTGGGACAGTGAAGAATTGCTCCCAATAACACATTCTTGTATGTTGTCCAGACTACCTTTATACACAGTGTTCCCCAGGGGCGGCTAAATCACATTTGAAAGCTGATGACATCGCTTTCTCGATAGGCAGTCTACATTTTCCCCTCTTCAAATTTAACCCCGTACTACTCCTCATGTTTATATCTACACCAAATAATTCCTCAACTCTCAAGTGCTCCTGTTGTCTGAAGCCTATTCTCATACTCTGTACCTTTACGTGGGAGCCAGTCTTGCTCTTCAGCAGTTGTTATTGACATAATTTTTCCTTGCATTTCAGTCCTTCAGACACTTACCGTTTTCTGTGAGTGTCCTCCGATTGGCCGATGTGCTTATATAAAATGGTGCCCAGAAGAAATTACTTTGAGATAAATCCACTGCAGCACCTAGATCCTAGTGTAAAGCCCACAGTCCAGGACCCGACTGAGATCCGCCCTAAGTGATGGCAGCTTCAGTCATCCACTAGGAACAACTGAAAATGGCCTGGCCTGTTATGTCCTCTGCATCGTATTAGACGAGAAGTTGGGGAGCGAGCACCGGACACCAGACTAGCCTTGCTATACAGCAGTCCTCCGTTACTATGGGATGCACTTCAGCCATTTTCAGCTACCTGAGAAGAGCACAGCAGCTAAAATGAGGCCAATGCTGTATTTGCTTTTATTTATCCTGACCCCTCGTCTCACAGATAATCGTGAGTCACAAGGACACTCGGGTAGTGGTGATCCGTTGTGGGCCGTGCCACAACACTTCCCAAAATGGTGTCCTTAGGGAAGCTCATATCCTGATTGCTCACGAGTGCTCTTTCCACTTGGGTGGACTTTGTGTCCTGGATCCCACTGCAGTGTTGTTCTGTGGTGGCCAAGAGGTAAAATGTGCAAAAGTACCTCTGCTTCCCCAAGCCTCCCATCTCTTTTTTTCCTTTGGACGCTGTGAAAGCTGTTGGACATCCTTGACATCCCTGATCTTGCAAAGGTTTCTGGTTTATTCATTTGGACCCATGTGCTGGTCTGTGTCGTGGTCAGGCTTGATTGCTCTTCACTCTAAACCACAGACTGCTCTGCTTGCAGGGAGCATTGCACTAGAAGCAGAGCTTTGATCTCTCACGGTCCATATATCCCACGATTAACAGTCAAAGGAAAGCATATCTGGTGCTCACAGGAAACAAAAGCTAGCACTGATGCTCTTCTACTAGTTTTGATGTTCCCAAATAAATCAGCCATGAGCTGTGTGTGAATTGATTGGCACATGATGTCTATGCCTAGATTTCACTGTAACAGATATCAGTGCCCATCTGTCAACACTAGGTCCATATTTTCTATTCACCCATAGTGCTGTATTTTTTAAGTTACTATTGCATTACCCCCTTTCACCTCCTCTTTTGCTGTCATATCTGCCTGCAATTTTCTCCCGAAATGTACAGAGTACCGCTGCCTGTCATTCAAATCCTTCCCAAGACTGACTGCTGTCATGTTACATATATGAAAGGACTCCATAATAGATTTGGCTGGGAAACAGAACTATAGCTCCATGAAAAAAATTGGCATGTTTTCTTGATTACTTTTTTTTGGCCTCAAATCAAAATCTCAGTAACACACTGGAAGTAGCAATTGCCTAGGTTCCTAAACTGAAATATATTCCCTGAGATCCCTGGCCAGCTGCTTGTGTGGCAGGCTATTACAGGGCCAAGGACTCCGGAAACCCTGGCAGCTGCTTTCTGAAAATGATATAATTCATGATGATTTCCCTGCTGCCCACCCCTGTAAAGTCGTGAGTCTGAGCAGGTCTCAGTGTTACATAGTGGCAAAATGGACAAAAAATTATAGCCTCGCAATAGGGGACAAAAAGGGAGAGAGTCCAAACCCGTCTAAGTCCAGCCCTTTTCCATTATGAGAAGGTAACAAATACTTAGTGTAGAGGCGTCTACTGAACTCCATCGGCCTTACACACAGCAGATCACAAAACACTGCCCTGTATCCTAAGACTAAAGTAAGGTCTATAGCAAGCAACCACAATCCAGAGTACCTGTATCACGCTATGCAAAAAGCACAGGAGAGGTGCAGAACATCAGGAATGTTCTGGATGAGCAATTGCAGCAGATTTGGTGGGCAAACTGACACACTGAAGAGAATTAAGGCTACAGAAGAAGAGAAAAAAAATCCAAAACCCACCGGTACCTCTTTCCTGGTCCTTCCTGTTCAGTGTAGTCCTGAATATAGAGGCAAGATGTTGAACCTGAGAGATGACCACCACATTGCTTTCAGTATCCTGCATCTACATAACGAAATTATTCAGAGAATAGCCAAAATTTCTCCTTGAAAATGGCTTATGTGACAAGAAGAAAACAGAAAATCCTTTCTGTCCTCTGCAACTGATCAGTAAAAGCCCTGAAACTGGGATCAATAACAATAAAATTATAGTGTAATGAACACTTTAAAATTGACTGAAGATACCACTGGGTAAGAGATTTAGGCAGGGGATTCGTCTTGGCTAACTTTAGATTTCTACAGCTGGCTGTCTGGATTCCTTGTATAGCCATGGAGAGAAAGAGCCACTTTCAGGGCCCAACTCATCTGACCTATTTTAAATGCCTATCTTAGGATGAGATGAATTGAATTTTACAAGTGTCTATTTCCCTCTATTGACTACAAAGAGAGTCTAGGAAACTAGTTCAGACATGGATGCCTGCATTGCAGACATCTATATTTGGACAGATGAGTCTCACTGCCACAGACCTGTATCACAAGCTTCAGTGTCTACTGCCAGCAACATCCTTATACTGCCATACACTCCCTTCCCTAAAACTTAACCAGCTTTCTCTTTCTAGCAGTAGATTTGAGGGTTGCCAGGATCCCTGGCTCCATAACAACCAATGCTTTTAGCCTCCAGCAACCCAAACAGCCTGGAAACTTGAGCTTTTGTGGTTCCCTATCAGCTGCCTGGGAAGCTAAAATGGTTCCAGGCGCTCCCACGGGTGCTGGCTCCCAAGCTTTGAGGCATCTGACTCAGGAACATGCCACACTCACAGGAGCTAATGAGCAGGAAAGGCCTGGGAGAAGCTTACCAGAATTCCTTCTTTCCACAGACAGTTTTGATTTTTAATGAATTTTCTACTGCTGATGAAAATTTCCTGTCCAGCTCAGTCAATCGGTCATTTAACAAAGGTGCAGTGGCTGAAGCTAATGACCTGTGTACATGGCTCTGATCAGTAATGCCAGAACAACAGTAAGGCTGTTGTTACCTTTGCGCTCTCTCTTCCTTCTCCTGCCTTTTGCTTGTTCATGCCCTCACTCCTGCAGTGGGACATGAAAATACCCTGTAATTCAGCCCCCATTTCAACAGGTGCTGAATATAAGTCTTGGGTCTAAGCACTACACTGCACTTACAGCATCTTTAGTTCTCACTCTACAGCTTGTTGCACTATATGATCACTTGAGATAACAAACATTATTTTTTTTCTGTTCAGGAATGAAGTTTTTGGAAGATTGCCCAGTTCAGCCACTAATTCCATTATATCTGTTGGTGGGTGGCGTGATTGGCAGCTTAAAGGTAATGTGCCTTCTGTGTGTGAAAAATATTTTGTGTGACTAGACTTTGACTTGCTAGTTAAGACATAATGATGGCTCCAGACAGCTATGTGCATGCAGTACTGAAGAGATCTATCGGGATTGAACTGTGCTTGTTCCAGCACCTAAAAGCACCCGTCAATCAAGTGAGACGCTAATGAGTTCAGCGTTCAGCATTCAGCATTGTCCCACACATTGTGGTGTGACTTTCTCCTACATCACAGCATCTGTGCTACCACCCCTACTGAGGGAAATGACTACATAACATGGATGCCTGTGGTAAATGAGTCCTATTTCCACAAGCAGTCCTCCAAGCCTGCCAGACCTTTCTCCATCATTTTCAGACACACAGCCTGGACAAAAAGTGAAGTTACTCTCCTAGCTTTGAGAATACTGTAAGATTACAGGTGTTTGTACATAGTCCTTCCCAAGTTCAATTTACTCCCACTCTGACCTGACCAGAACCAATGACTACGCAGCAGCATGGCTTCCTTCCAGAGTAAATATAACCTTGCATAGCAGCAGGGCTTATTAATCTAGGCTCAGCATTTTCTAATCACAACTCCCTGTCTTCCAGTGGACTGTGCTCACTTATATCTTTGTTGAGCCCTAGCCTGTCTGCTTCACGAGTAGAGACACCCCCATATCTGTGTTACGCGCTGGTCACTATATAGCTGTAACTCTGCGTTGACTCTAGGGTAAAGGATCACCCCGTTCTGACAGTCCCTTTGCAGACGGTGTTAACTGGCTGCTAGTGGGCACAAAGAGGCTTGTCACAACAGACTGCAGAGCTACTTTAAGGCTTCTCAGCAGGATTAAGCAAAACTGTTTTTTGCTGTCCCAATGATGTTCATGCCAAAGGAACGAAAAGGGGCAGAGCTGAAGGAAAAGCTTTGGAACCGCATTGCTAGGGCATGAAGGGTGGAAAACAGCAAGTGCTTCTGCAGGAGGCACTGTCTGTACTGGTAGCATTGGCCGTCCTGCATTGCTAAGAGGGCAGCAGCAACCCAGCACCCAGTCTACCTTTTCCAGGAGCCCAGCATCGGCAGAGCAGACAGGGTGGACCTGACAAGTTGTGGCCTAATGTTTCAGTACAGGCAGCCCATCCCTTGAAAGGGAACCTGCTAGACTCTGACTTGACAGCACTGCATATTGCAGCCAGCAGACGCTGCAGACAGGAGCTAGCTACATTCCCCTTTGATAATGATTCTAGCCCCTTTTCTTTGCCAGGATGGAAAGAAGGTGGACAGAACGAACATTCTTCTGCAGGTCTTTGCAGCCCCTGCACTCTTACACAGTGGTAATCGAACCGCAGTACATCACTGGGCTGTGAATCATCCCCCTGAGGACCTTTGGTCAGTGAATAACTAAAAGGAGAGAAAAAAAGAAGGGGCTTAATCTTGTTATAAGGAATTTGCTATGCTACAAGTCCTACTGGCAAATGTTTAGTCATTTGATCACATCAGTGGACTTATCTGTATAATCAAAGGTTCATTTAATAATAGTTCAGAAAAGATTAGAGCGGAATTGAAAGGAAATTTTCAGGCTAATGAACCAAAGCCTTCATCAAAAATGTTGACTGTTTCTTAACTATTTTTGCTTCAACATCATTTATTCTCACCCTAAATAAGACGGTAAGTGGGCCAGTTCCTGCTGATGTCAAATAATGGCTAGAATTTGGCTTCAGTTGACAGCAGAACTGTCTATTTTCCAGTCTGGCAATACATTTGCTCAGAATTTGACTGGCCTAACTCGCGTCATCTCATAGTGCTTGATCTGGTTAGATGCAGATGGGATCTGTAAACCCACCTGTGAAGTTTCTCTGACTTCCTCAAAACCAATGCTCATCTGCCATTTAACCCCATTCCCAATGCTGAGCTTGGTGATGCTTGAGTACAGGCATCTGCCTATGTGCTGAGCTCACCTCTAAGCTAATGAGCTGCACAGAGCTTCAGGTCACAGGTCCCCATATGGAAACCTCAGACCTATTGGCCAGGTAGGTTTATCCCTCCTGTGTGTCATGTGCCTGCCTAAAATAAACATTCACCTAAGAAGATGCTCTGCTAGTTTGAACAAGCCTACCAGTTACAGTGCTCAGCTGGACGTGAGGCGTCCAGTGGAAACACCATTTTTTTGTCTACATTGGTGCTGGGACTTTTAATCTCTGTTTCTCACGAACTGGTACTAATATCTGGGCTAGAAAAACAGCTGGTTTTGTGAACAAATATTTAATAATATATACATAAGTGAACAGGTTTACATGGAAGAGCAAGAGAATCCTCTTCCCAGGATGTCCTGTATCCTCTTGCTAAGCCTTGCCTCTAGAAAATGGGGCACATGGACTAAAACCTGAACCAGGCAGAACACATACCCAAACAAATTTTCCTTAGCCAGTGTTCTCACCATTAAGCACTGACTAATGGAGAAGGCAGAGTGTAAAACCAGGGGTGCTCTTCTCTCATTTCAAGCAGAAAAATGACCACAGAATATCACTCTGGGAAAGAGAACATGGCTGAGAACCCCTGCTTGGACAGTACATCCCTCCCCATAGCCACTTACAAATCCACATCTTTTACCTTTCCCTCTGAAATTCATTCCTGGTTGGACGAGGCAGCTTCTTGCTCAGTTGGTTTCTTAAGAGTCTCCTTCCAAAGACACATCTCACTGCAGGGAGGCTTGCACGGGAACCTGAGTACCTAAAAAGGGGAGTTGTGATTATAACAGCTAGTGCCTTGAGGACTGGGCCAAGTGTTTCAGGTGTAGCAAGATACCACAGGTTTCACAATGTTTGGCCCAAATCCTTGTTGGATCCTGTACATCCCTCTCCTATAAATCTACCAAAATTAAGAAAGTCATTCACGGAACAGAAATTCGAAAGCTTCTCTACACTGCAGTCAACCTACCTACATACTTTGTATTGCCAAGACTAAACTAGAAATCTTCTAAGCATCACTGATGTGTCCTACTGCATTTCCCTGTAGACCAGACCTTCCTAACCCCACAGTATCATAGTATTCCACCTATTTCTCTGCTGGTTCTGGCTGAAAGCAGGAATGGAGCAATCTGAGAAAACGACGCTTAATTGAAGAAAACGTCACAGAATCATTCCAAGCATCTGAAGCAATTTATTTGGGGTTTAGGTCGAAGTCTAGATCCTTTGTAATTTTATTTAAGCTGATTCACCTATATAGCCATGGCAAATAGAGTTAGGAAAGACAAATACACCCTCCACAATTACGCTACAGGAGCAGGAACTACTCTACTTAAGTCATTTAGCAGTTACTCTAATCTGTTCTTAAAAGTCTCCTGTGTGGGAGCTGCTGCCATCTCCCTACACAATCTGTTCTCATGCCTTTCCATCCTTACCATTGGCAAGTTTTTTCCAACGCCTGGCCTAAATCTCACTGGCGAATAAACTGTAAAGAAAAATGCATTACTTTCCAGCAGGATCTGCCTCATTTATGGCTCCTCAGCTTTCTCTTACACGGTCTTCCCACACCCAATTTTAATTTGGCCCCAAGGCTGGCAGTGGTCAGAAGATGTTCAGACTTTCTGCAGCCAATTTACTTATTCCGTTTTCTCCCCCAACGCCTCCAGGTGACTCTCCTGCTGTACGACTCAACCAGGATGAGGCAGCTGCTTTCCAAGTCTGTGGTGATCGATGATGATGATGACGACGAATATCCCTGGAGGCAGAATGCTCACAAGTACTACATCCATCTAACCCTCAGCCTTTTCCTCTTTCTCTGGTTCATTCTTGGGAACTACTGGGTTTTTTCCGTGTACCTGCCAAATTTCATCCCACCTTTCCATCAGCCTCAGGATTACTGTGACAAAACCCTGTACATTTTTGCTGTTGGTGTTCTCATTATTAGCCATACTGTTCTCTTTCTCCTTATCTTTTGTAGCTGCTGCATATATTGTTTTTCCAGGCAAAGATACTCTTCTGAGGAAGACTAAATGCCACATAAATAAAGCCCCAGATTTTTGGGAAAGAGAGT